TATTCATGATCAGAACGACGAGGTTCAAATCTCAGTTTAGAGCAAATAATTAATTAATTTATCTTACTTATTGAAATAGGATAGGAATGTATAAGGGTAATTAGAAGAGTAGGGTGCAAACAAGCGTAGGCAGAAGCCAAAGTATAACAAGTAAGAGGCTAAGTTCGATGTAACGAACATTTTATACTCGCAAAGTCAAATGTATACTGTTTGAGATTTCTTGTGGATTCTGATATTTTCGGTAGAAGGTCAACTATAGGCACTGGGGTCCACATATTTAGTATTAGGGGCTTAAACAGTTTTGGTTGATTTAGACAATTTTTTACAGGTTGCATACTTTAATCGCATTATTCACGCAAAGTTTTATCCGATACAGTCATTGTTGCCTGATTTGCATAGTGGAAAGTGAAATAATCAGATGAATTAAAATGGTGTTATATGGAAAGTAGGCGTGGTTGTAGTCCGATTTCGCCCATTTTTGCACTGTGACATAGAAACATAAAAGAACGTTATGCAGAATTTGGTTGAAATGGTAAGCAGATCTCAAGATATAATTTTACCTGGTGAGCTGTGCCACGCCCACTGTCTAATTTGAACGCGTTCATAAAGTCATCTTACCATCCCAGAGAAAATTTAATAACTCTGGCGTGTTTAGTCTTGATTTATCGCGCTTTTAGTAGTTTTTAAACCGTACCTTTATATGGGGATGGGCGGAGTTGCCAGATTTCAACTATTTTCACACCGTCATAGAAGTGCTAAAATATTTGCTTCCAGTGAATTTTGTTATTATAGCATTAGCGGTTTAGGAGATATACATTAAACCTATAAGAGGCGGGACCACGCCCACTTTTTAAAAAATTTAACTGCAGATGCTCCTTAATTGATCCTGTGTACAATAAACAGTCTTGTATCTATTTGCGGAGCTATAGTTATGGCAAGTTATTTGTTTTTGATTAATGGCGTTTTGTGGGCGTGGCAGTGGTCCGATTACGCCCATCTGCATAGCAACCGTCTCACGGTACCATAAACATGTCTACAAGTTTCATAAAGATATCTCAATTTTACCTCTTAGAGCTGCAAGGACGGACGGACAGACGGAGATAGAGACGGACGAAGTCACCCGGATTTCAACTCGTCTCTTCATCCTGATCATTTATATATATATAACTCCTATATCTAACTCGATTATTTTTTAGGTGATACAAACAACCGTTAGTGAACAAAACATATATATCTTAGCAAGGTTGCAGAGAGTATAAAAGCAGTACAAATAAAATATAAGAAGAAAATAAATTTTTGTGGAGACCCACTTGTGGCGATCGTTCAACTTGATTCCTTCTAGCATATTCGCAAAAGCAAAAAGTGTAGAAAAGTCAAGTTTGTGTAAAAGGAGTGCACGTATACTTAGAAATAGTGTGATTTTCACATTTGTATAAATACGCATAAGAAATATTCAAACTAAACATATGAATATATTTCCTGATATATTTTAATTATAGAAGTAATATACTATTAAGAAATTGAATTGATATGCTTAGATTCCATTAATAAATAAAAAATTAAATAAAATTTCAGTTTCATTGATTTTAGGATTCGAACGTATAGTTCGTATTCGGATTTGCTTAATCTCCCGCTTACGACCTCAGCCACACAAAGTGGGAAACGTGGCGCTTAGCACCTTTTATTGTTATCCTTTGTTTAATAAGCAATTGCTTACACAAACACATACATAAGTGCGGAGTAAGGAAAATAGCCAATTAAAGTTTATTTTATTATGAATTCTGGGGTTTTACTCGTTTACAGATTTTAATTCAGAAGGCTTTTCATAATTATAAATTTGTCATCATAGAAATTGAAAACATAAATCTAAATAAGTATGCGCAACGATTTTCATTTACTAATATTCTGTCTATTTATAGCTTATTAACATTCTCTGGTCATTACATCTCTGTTGAATTGCATTTTGAATTATACTGGTAGCCAGTGTTATCATAGCTTACACCAAATGGTTGCTGTACACGGGTGGTGATTCTTAATTATATTGGTACCCAGTTTATTCGCGGTTTCCACAACTAGATCTGGTTGTAATCAAGAATATATGCAATTAAATTCATATATATAACGAAAAGACAACAATTTTATTCACTACAGTGGTCAAATGGATAGACTTTATCGCTGATCAGAATGACGAGGTTCAAATCTCAGTTTAGGCAAATAATAATTAATTTATCTTACATTGAAATAGGTAGGAATGTCATATGGGTAATTAGAAGAGTAGGAGTAGTGCAAAGGTATGAAGATAAAAAGCAGTACAAATAAAATACGAATAAAGAAGAAAATAAACTTTACACATAAGGAGGTGGGGAAAGGAATATCAGAATTGGAAAATTAGCGCAGTTTGCGCCTTACGAAGTAAGCGGGCCTAGATGGACATAATGCACACCGTTTGAACATGGTGCATTCTATAGGATTCCCACGCTCCTGGTGGTGGTGGCGGGTGGTTGATGGTGATAATGGAAGCCGAGTGTCCTCTAGGTGATCACTTGGTTTCATCCCGCTCATATACCCCTTATATGGAAACACAAAAGGTAAAAGTAGAAATTTTGAAATTCTGCTTGATGTCAACGGGTGATACAATAATATATGCAATAAATCTTATATATATAATGAAAAGGAAACATTTTATTCACCTACAGTGGTCATATGATAGACTTTAGCTCCGCGATCAGAATGAGAGGTTCAAATTCATAGAAATAATAATTAATTATCTTACTATTGAAATAGGATAGGAATGTATATGGGGTAATTAGAAGAGTAGGTGGTACAAGCAAGGTGCAGTATATTCGCAATAAGCAAAAATGTAGAAAAGTCAAGTTTGTAGGCGGCGGGCGAGTGACATATTATGAAAGTATGTGATTTTCAATTTGTATAAATATACATTAATAAATATTCAATAAACCAAAATATGAATATATTGATATATTTAATTATATCAGGAAGTAAATATGCTATTAAAGAATTAATTATGATATGCTTAGATTTACCAAAATAAAAATAAATAAAATTTGCTCTATGAGTTCTAGGATCTGACGTATAGTTCGTATTCGGATTGTGCTTAACTCCCTTCCCCTTACGATCTCAGCCACCACAAAGTGGAAATATTATAGCTAGCATTTTATTGACCTTTGTTGTTTAATAAGCAATTATATGCTACAACGCACATACATAAGTGCGAAGTAAGAAAATAGCTAATTAAATGTTAAAGAATTCTGGGTTTACCAGGTTTTGTAGATTTTTAATCTAGAAGGCTTTTATAATTATAAATTTGTCTATATCATAGAAATTGAAAATATAATCTAAATAAGTATGCGCAACGATTTTCATTTACTAATATTCGTTGTGTCTATTTATAGCCTTATTAAATTCTCTGGTCATATTGCTATCTCTGTTGCAATTGTATTTTGAATTATACTGGTAGCCCAGTGACTATAGTTTACACCAAATGGTTGCTGTACACGGGTGGTGATTCTTAATTATATTGGTAACTCCAGTGTTATTCGCGGTTTCACACCAACTGCTTGATGTCAACGGGTGATGGTTGTAATCAAGAATATATGCAATTAAATGCTATATATATATAACGAAAGGACAAACATTTATTTGCTATACAGTGGTCAAATGGATAGACTTTACGCTCCGCGATCAGAACGACGAGGTTCAAATCTCGAGAGTATACAATATAATTTATCTTACTATTGAAATAGGATAGGAATGTATCATGTAATTAGAATAGGGTGCAGTGATGCGTGTAGGAGCCGAAGTATAACAAGTAAGGAAGGGACTAAGACTTTGATGTAACCAACATTTTATACTCCCGCAAAGTCAATAGTATACTGTTTGAGATTTCGTGGATTGATATTTCGGTAGAAGGTCAACTATGTAGGCACGGGTCCAATTTAGTACTTAGGCTTAAACAGTTTTGTGATTTAGAAATTTTTACAAGGTGGTCATACTTTAATCGATTATTCACGCAAAGTTTATCCGATAGCATAAGTTCTGATTTGGTAAGAAAGTGAATCAGATGGAATTATTAAAATGGTTATATGAAAGTAGGTGGTTGTAGTCCGATTTCTATTTTTGCACTGTGACATAGAAAAGTAAGAATGTTATGCACGAATTTGTGAAATCGGTTAAGCAGATCTCAAGATATGGTTTTCATCTAAAGCATGTTACGCCCACATCTAATTTTGAACGCGGTCTTTAAAGTCATCTCATACCATCCCAGAGACAAAATTAATACTCTGGCGTGTTTAGTGCTTGATTTATCGCGCTTTAGTAGTTTTTAACAGTACCGTTATATGGGAGATGGCGGTACACCGATTTAAATATTTTCCACCGTCAATAGAAGTGCAGTAATTGTTCCAGTGAATTTTATATAGCATTAGCGGTTTAGAGATGACATTAAACTCTATTAGAGGCGGGACTAGTCACTTTTTAAAAATTTTCCCAGATGCCCTCCTAATTGATCCTGTGTACAAATAAAGTCTGTATCTTATTGGAGCTTATTATGCAAGTTATTTGTTTTGTTACGGCGTTTTGGTGGCAGTGGTCCGATTACGCCCATCTGGAATACATGTCTGATGGTACTATGAACATATCCTATCAAGTTTCATAAAGATATTCAATTTTATAAGTTAGAGCTTAAATGGATCGACGCACGGACAATGACGGACAGACGGACGGATGGAAGAATACCCGGATTTCAACTCGTTCTTCATCCTGATCTATTTATATATATATAACCTATATCTAACTCGATTAGTTTAGTGATCAAACAACCGTTAGGTGAAAAACTATTATACTCTGTAGCAACAGGTTGTGAGAGTATAAAAAGCAGTACAAATAAAATAGAATAAAGAAGAAAATAAACTTTTTGTGGTAGACACCTTGCCGGCGTTACAACTTGATTCTAGCTATATTCGTAAAGCAAAAAGTGTAGAAAAAGTCAAGTTTGTAAGGGCAAGGAGTGCACGTATACTTATGAAAGTATGTGGATTTTCACATTTGTATAAATACGCATAATAAGTAAATATTCAAACCTAAGAATATGAAATATTTTCCTGATAATATTTAATTATATCAGGAAGTAAAATATATTAAAGAATTGAATTATGATATGTTAGATTCTCAATTAATAAAATAAAAAATAAAATTTAATTCATGAGTTTTAGATTCGACGTATAGCTTCGTATCTCGATTGTGCTTAACACTCTTCCCGCTTACGACCTCAGCCACCACAAAAGTGGAACACGTGGCCGTCTTAGCCACCATTTTATTGTTACCTTTGTTTAATAAGCAATTGTTCACAACGCACATACATAAGTGCGGAAGTAAGGAAAAATAGCCAATTAAATGTTTATTTTATTATGAATTCTGGGGTTTTTACCGGTTTTACAGATTTTAATTCAAAGGCTTTTCATAATTATAAATTTGTCATATCATAGAAATTGAAAACATAAATCTAAATAAGTATGCGCAACGATTTTCATTTACTAATATCTGTTGTGTCTATTTATAGCCTTATTAACATTCTGTCTGGATCCATCTCTGTTGCAATTGTCATTTTGAATTATATCAGCCCAGTGTTAATCATAGCTTCACACCAAATGGTTGCTGTACACGGGTGGTGATTCTAATTATATTGGTACCGCAGTTTTATCTGCGGTTCACTTACCACTGCTTGATGTCAACGGGTGATGGTTGTAATCAAGAATATATGCAATTAAATTGTATATATATATAACGAAATGAAAACATTTTATTCACCTACAGTGGTCAAATGATAGACTTATGCCCGCTGACTCAGAATGACGAGGTTCAAATCTCAGTTTAGGCAATAATTAATTAATTTATTACTTTATTGAAATAGGATAGGAATGTATATGGGGTAATTAGAAGAGAAGGGTGCAGTACAAGCGTAGGGCAGAAGCCGAAGTATAAAAAGCAGTACAAATAAAAATACGAATAAAGAAGAAAAATAAACTTTACACATAAGGAGGGTGGGGGAAAGGAATACCTAGAATTGGAATAAATTAGCGCAGTTTGCGCCGTAGGCGTAAACGGAGCGGCCTTAGATGGGACATACGCACACTGTTTGACCCATGGTGCATTCTATAGGATTCCCACGCTCCTGGTGGTGGTAGGCGGGTGGTTGATGGTGATAATGGAAGCCCCGAGTGTCCTCTAGGTGATCCACTTGGTTTCATCCCCCCCGCTCATATACCCCCTTAACTGGAAACACAAAAAAGGTAAAAAGTAGAAATTTTGAAATTTTCACTGCTTGATATCAACGGGTGATGGTTGTAATCAAGAATATATGCAATTAAATTGCCATATATATAACGAAAATGACAAACATTTTATTCACCTACAGTGGTCAAATGGATAGACTTTACGCTCCGCGATCAGAATGACGAGGTTCAAATCTCATTTTAGGGCAAATAATTAATTAATTTATCTTACTATTGAAATAGGATAGGAATGTATATGGGGTAATTAGAAGAGTAAGGCGCAGTACAAGCGTAGGGCAGAAGCCGAAGTATAAAAAGTAGTACAAATAAAAATACGAATAAAAAAGAAAAATAAACTTTTTTTTTAAAAAATACTGTAATATAATACGCAACGAATGTGAGTTTTTTTATTGAGAATGAAATTTTAAATAATTAACAAAAAAGATTTATGCGTTATGGAATCAATAAACTATAAAAATAATTTTTAGATTAGGGTGGTTGTTAACAAACCCATGTGTAAATTTAATAAAAAATTTATACAAAATAAACTCAAGTAATCCACAACGAATATGAGTTATTTATTGAAAATAAAATTTTTAATTATCACCGAAAACGATTTATTGTTACAAATCTTAGATGAAAAACGGGTAATTTTATTTTCTTGCTTCTTAATTTGGAAAATGAATAATTTTTTTTAAATTAAATGATTTTTAATAGAATTTTTTTCTAGTTTTTTAATAGTTTTTTTCATTTAAAACATGAATAGTAAAAACAATTTAAAAAATTTATTATGAAGTTAATGAACTACACAAATAAATTTTTAGGTTAGGTTGGTTGTTATAAATCTCACTCAAAAAGTATCGTTTTTTAGACACACTTCAAACATGATTCAACCCTCTCCCCCCCTAATGTAAAACATCATAAGATGACAACGAAAATAACAATAGAATAATAGAAAGTCTAGGAGTACTAAGAGCATATGATTTTTATCTGTTTCAATATCAAGTTAAAGAGATGAAGTACAGATGGCGCTAATTTATAACGCCAACTCTTACAGCGAAAGTGATGAATTTTTAAATCTTTAACTTTTGAATATCTGACACAACTGCAGCGTAGTCTGCCGAAATTCTATGTAAAACGTTCTAACATCAACAACAATTTAAATAATAAATAAATTCATTGTTAAAACATTATCTAGTTGATCGAATTGTGAATCTAAGCCATCCTCGACGTCCCTTGAACTTACACAAAAAATTTCATCAAAATCGGTCCAGCCGTCTAGGAGGAGTTCAGTGACATACACACGCACAGAAGAAATATATACAATGTGCGTTCCAAAGAAGAATTAGCTAGAGGTTGAAAAAACTAGCGCAGTTTGCGCCTTACGAAGTAAGGCGTAAACGGAGCGCCCTAGTAGATTGATGTCTCTAATTAACGTGCACCTGTGCGGCTACATGAATCAAATAGTTTGCGCCATCTTAGATCACCCTGTTTAGGCGCTAATGGCCGCAAAAGGGTGACACGTTAAATTCCAATAAGTTTTTTGGTCAATTGCCACGCCCCTATTGGTGGAAGGCGGGTGTTTTCTGGGGATTTTACCGGTAATACAGATTTTTAATTCAGAAGGCTTTTCATAATTATAAATTTGTCATATCATAGAAATTGAAAACATAAATCTAAATAAGTATGCGCAACGATTTTTCATTTACTAATATTCGTTGTGTCTATTTATAGCCTTATTAACATTCTCTGGTCATATTGCCATCTCTGTTGCAATTGCATTTTTGAATTATACTGGTAGCCCAGTGTTAATCATAGCTTCACACCAAATGGTTGCTGTACACGGGTGGTGATTCTTAATTATATTGGTAACCCAGTGTTATTCGCGGTTTCACATCAAATGCTTGATGTCAACGGGTGATGGTTGTAATCAAGAATATATGCAATTAAATTGCTATATATATATAACGAAAAGGACAAACATTTTATTCACCTACAGTGGTCAAATGGATAGACTTTACGCTCCGCGATCAGAACGACGAGGTTCAAATCTCAGTTTAGAGCAAATAATTAATTAATTTATCTTACTATTGAAATAGGATAGGAATGTATATGGGGTAATTAGAAGAGTAGGGTGCAGTACAAGCGTAGGGCAGAAGCCGAAGTATAAAAAGCAGTACAAATAAAAATACGAATAAAGAAGAAAAATAAACTTTACACATAAGGAGGGTGGGGAAAGGGGAAGAAGAAATACCTAAAATTGGAATAAACTAGCGCAGTTTGCGCCTTACGAAGTAACGTAATTCGTAACAATGCTGTGTCAACCAAAACCAAACAATCGTCTCCTTGATTTTAATTACATTGCTATTGTGTGCGTTAGACTAAGTTTAACTTACCGCATAAGTTTGCACTTCTAGGTGATCCACTTGGTTTTATCCCCCCCGCTCATATACCCCCTTAACTGGATATACAAAAAAGTAAAAAGTAGAAATTTTGACTTTTTTGTTGATTGCCACTCACCTGTTCAACCTATATCTGAGATTGATGTCTCTAATTAACGTGCACCTGTGCGGCTACATGAATCAAATAGTTTGCGCCATCTTAGATCACCCTGTTTAGGCGCTAATGGCCTCAAAAGGTTGACACGTTAAATTCGAATAAGTTTTTTGGTCAATTGCCACGCCCCTATTGGTGGAAGGCGGGTGTTTTCTGGGGATTTTACCGGTAATACAGATTTTTAATTCAGAAGGCTTTTCATAATTATAAATTTGTCATATCATAGAAATTGAAAACATAAATCTAAATAAGTATACGCAATGATTTTTCATTTACTAATATTCGTTGTGTCTATTTATAGCATTATTAACATTCTCTGGTCATATTGCCATCTCTGTTGCAATTGCATTTTTGAATTATACTGATTCTTAATTATATTGGTAACCCAATGTTATTCGCGGTTTCACACCAACTGGTTGATATCAACGGGTGATGGTTGTAATCAAGAATATATGCAATTAAATTGCTATATATATAACGAAAATGGCAAACATTTTATTCACCTACAGTGGTCAAATGGATAGACTTTACGCTCCGCGATCAGAATGACGAGGTTCAAATCTCATTTTAGGGCAAATAATTAATTAATTTATCTTACTATTGAAATAGGATAGGAATGTATATGGGGTAATTAGAAGAGTAGGGTGCAGTACAAGCGTAGGGCAGAAGCCGAAGTATAAAAAGCAGTACAAATAAAAATACGAATAAAGAAGAAAAATAAACTTTACACATAAGGAGGGTGGGGGAAAGGAATACCTAGAATTGGAATAAATTAGCGCAGTTTTGCTGTTTGACCCATGGTGCATTCTATAGGATTCCCACGCTCCTGGTGGTGGTAGGCGGGTGGTTGATGGTGATAATGGAAGTCCCGGGTGTCCTCTAGGTGATCCACTTGGTTTTATCCCCCCCGCTCATATACCCCCTTAACTGGATATACAAAAAAGTAAAAAGTAGAAATTTTGACTTTTTTGTTGATTGCCACTCACCTGTTCAACCTATATCTGAGATTGATGTCTCTAATTAACGTGCACCTGTGTGGCTACAAGAATCAAATAGTTTGCGCCATCTTAGATCACCCTGTTTAGGCGCTAATGGCCTCAAAAGGTTGACACGTTAAATTCGAATAAGTTTTTTGGTCAATTGCCACGCCCCTATTGGTGGAAGGCGGGTGTTTTCTGGGGATTTTACCGGTAATACAGATTTTTAATTCAGAAGGCTTTTCATAATTATAAATTTGTCATATCATAGAAATTGAAAACATAAATCTAAATAAGTATACGCAATGATTTGTCATTTACTAATATTCGTTGTGTCTATTTATAGCATTATTAACATTCTCTGGTCATATTGCCATCTCTGTTGCAATTGCATTTTTGAATTATACTGATTCTTAATTATATTGGTAACCCAATGTTATTCGCGGTTTCACACCAACTGGTTGATATCCACGGGTGATGGTTGTAATCAAGAATATATGCAATTAAATTGCTATATATATAACGAAAATGGCAAACATTTTATTCACCTACAGTGGTCAAATGGATAGACTTTACGCTCCGCGATCAGAATGACGAGGTTCAAATCTCAGTTTAGGGCAAATAATTAATTAATTTATCTTACTATTGAAATAGGATAGGAATGTATATGGGGTAATTAGAAGAGTAGGGTGCAGTACAAGCGTAGGGCAGAAGCCGAAGTATAAAAAGCAGTACAAATAAAAATACGAATAAAGAAGAAAAATAAACTTTACACATAAGGAGGGTGGGGGAAGCAATACCTAAAATTGGAATAAATTAGCGCAGTTTTGCTGTTTGACCCATGGTGCATTCTATAGGATTCCCACGCTCCTGGTGGTGGTAGGCGGGTGGTTGATGGTGATAATGGAAGCCCCGAGTGTCCTCTAGGTGATCCACTTGGTTTCATCCCCCCCGCTCATATACCCCCTTAACTGGAAACACAAAAAAGGTAAAAAGTGGAAATTTTGAAATTTTCACTTTTTTGTTGATTGCCACTCACCTGTTCAACCTATA